CATTTGCTTTTTGTTCGGCCTTCCGACGGCCCGAGACGGCCCAAGTGCCCCCAAAGATCGCCCAAGAGGCCCAAGACGGCCCTCAGAGGCCCCCAAGACGGCCCAAGATGCCTCCAAGACGCTCAAGATGGCCTCCAAGACGGCCCAAGAGCCCTCCAAGACGTCCTCCAAGAATTCCCCAATTTATCAAAATGGCCTCCAGACGGCCAAGATGATCTTCGAGATGCCCACGTGTTCCCCGAAGGCTTTCCAAACCGGGTCGGGGAACACATGGTCCGATAGCTTGGCAGGTCTGGCCTCAACGTTCGGCCACATAGGCGCTTCCAAAAAGGCAGGGGGCGGCGGTGATTCGCCGTAGGCGTCTTCGATGCGCCGCCCCCTGTCGATTCATCGCAGGGGTGCCTGGCGTGCTAGATCCGTTCGGTTTGGGTTTTGGTTCTTTTTCCAAAAGAACCCCTGGGGCTTCGGTCCGCCCCGACGGCCACTGCCCAGAGCCCAAATCCACAGTTGTTCCTCCAAGACGGCTCAAGATGGGCTCCAAGATGGCCACGTTGGCCCAAGATGACCTCCAAGATGGTCCAAGATGGCCTCCAAGTCCGCCCAAGAGAGGAGGAGATGCCTTCAAGTCCCCGACGAGAAAGACGACGACGCCTCCAGGGACGACAGCTGGGACGGTCGGCAGAAGGTGAGCACTCCCTGGAAAGAGAGGTCTAGAGACTCCTCGGCACCTCCTGTCTTTCACGGGCTCGAACATCTGCAGCTTTATCGAGACAACTTGAGTTCGTGGAAGTTGACAGGTTACAAGCCAAAGAACCAAGCAGGAAAGGTTCTCGAATCCCTTCCGATAGAGTTGCAAGCGAAGTTCCTCGAAAGAGGCGACAGTTTCGCAGATCGCAGCCCCCCAGGGACGGCGAGGTCTCGCTCAGATCTGCGCGGTGCCTCACTCCGCTGGACCCACCAGCAGCCCTCGAAAGTGGCGACAATTTCGCAGGTCGCAGCCCCCCAGGGACGGCGACCACAGGGGGGGGCGGGAGGAGGAGGACGCGACCACACCCCTCTATTCAAAACGAATACCCAACCAAGGAGGGTTGGGAAAAAGAACCAAACCCAAAACCGAAAGGATTCAGCACGCCAGGCACCCCTGCGATGAATCGACAGGGCGCGGCGGACCGAAGGCGCCTACGGCGAATCACCGCCGCCCCCTGCCCTTGTGGGAGCGCCTGTGTGGCTGACAGCTGGGCCAGAGCGTGGCCAAGCTGGCGGACCAGTTCTTCCCCGACTCTCTTTGGAGAGCCTTCGGGTAACGCGTGGTGGAGCAAGAGGTTTGAAAGCGCTCATGCGTCCGAGCCTTGTGGCAAGAGCTCTGCCAAGCTGTCGGACCATGTGTTCCCCCAACCGTTGTGGAAGATGGCGGGGAAGATCAGGAGGAGGAGGAGGATGAGGAGGACGAGAAGGAAAAAGAAGGAGGAGAAGGAGGAGGAACATAAGGAGGAGGAGGAGGAGGAGGAGATGAGGATGAGTCTTGGGCGTCTTGGAGGCCTCTTGGGCCGTCATAGGGGCCTCTTAGGGCCGTCGTCTTTGGCCTCTTGGGCGATCTTTGGGGGCACTTAGGCCGTCTCGGGCCGTCGGAAGGCAGGAACAAAGTAAATGCCATAATCCTTCAAGAACTCATTGGAAATCAATGAGTTTCGCCTTTTCTGGCCTTCCTGGAGACCCTCTTGGAGGTCTCTTGGGCCGTCTTGGGCCATCTCAGGGCCATCTTCGGCCGTCTTGGTGGGCTCCTGGCCCGTCGGACGCCGTGGGAAGCCGTTTGGGGGGCCTCTCTGGGTCTACTTGGGGCCCTCTTGGAATGCTCCAGGGCCGTCTTGGAGGCCATCTTGGGCGTCTTGAAAGCCTCCTGGGCCGTCGCCTCTTGGGGCCGTCTTGGGGGCCTCTTGGGCCGTTCTGGGGCCATCTTGGAGAGGCCGAAAAGAAGCAACATCCGTGTTTTTGGCCTTTTCGGGCCTTCCTGGAAGCCCTCTTGGAGGCCTCTTGGGCCGTCTTGGGCCAGCTTCGAGCCAACTTCGGCCATCTTGGTGGGCTCCTGGCCCATCTGACGCCGTCGGAAGCCGTTTGGGGGGCCTCTCTGGACTTGGGGCCCTCTTGGGGTGCTCCAGGGCCGTCTCAGAGGCCATCTTGGGTGTCTTGGAAGCCTCTTGGGTCGTCTTTGTGCCCTCTTGGGGCCGTCTTGGGGGCCTCTGGGGCAGTCCTGAGGCCAACTTGGAGGCCTCGTGGGCGCTCTGGGGGCGATCTTGAGGGCCTCTTGGGCCGTCTTGGGTCGTCGGAAAGCCGAAACGGAGCAAATACGAAAAACCTTAAAACAATCCAAGGAAAATCACTGCTTTGGCCTCTTCGGGCCCTCCTGGAGGACCTCTCGGAGGCCTCTTGGGCCGTCTTGGAGGCCTCTTGGGTACCTCTTGGGCCGTCTTGGGCTGTCTTGGAGGTTTCTCGGGCGCATCATGCAGCCCACGAGCCCCACCAAGAAGAGTCAGCCCACGGACCGTGCTCACCTTCTCCCTTGTCATCCTTCTTGCCGGTCTCTACCCTGGCTGAAGACCCGCGAGCACCGTGAGTCCCCGTAATGTCGCCCCCCTCCTGCTCGCCCGCTCCCACGCTCCGCTTACCATTGTCGGCGTCGTCGTCAGACATCGGAATAGCAGGATGAGGACGGTACAGTTCTGGAAACCCTCAACGCTCCTCGTGCCTCCGAGCTCGGAGGTCAATGTGAGACCTAAGCCCAAAGGGCTGCGCACGGATACAAACGCTAGGGCAAGAATGGGACGTCAGACACAAAGAGGAGAGGGGGAGGAGTGGCCACAAAAGACACCACAGACAGCCCGAGAGGGCCCCAAGACGGCCCAAGAGGCCCCCAAGACGGCCCAAGAGGGTCCCAGGAGGGGCCCAAGAGAAGCTCCAGAGAGGGAACACGAACGGACATTTCGAGCCCTCCGCCCCAAGACGACCGCCGAGACCACCAACAGGCCCCCAAGAAACCCCCCAGAATCTCTAGGAGACCCTTCAAGAAGCCCAAATCAGGCGCCCAAAACACTCCCGGTCACCAACGCTGCACCAGCATCAACATGTTTCAGGACCGAAAAGGTTCAGATTGCAGATACACATATACTACATAGCAACATTCGAATTCGACTCGGCTGCAGTGTCAGAGGAAGAGGAAAATAAAATTTGTGTTCAATCGTTGTGGAGAGGAACGGGAAGGGGGAAGAGAATGAAAAACAAAGTGAGGCGGGAGAAAAAGGGATGGAGCGAGAGAGGGAAAGAAAGAGAGAGGGGGGAAGGAGAAGCGGAGTGAGGTTGGGGGAGGGCGCTGAAGGGAGAGATGACGACGACGGGCACAATAAAGACGAAGAGGCACTTTGGGGAGGAAGATGACGAGGGGCGAAGTAGAGGAACAAAAAAGAGGAGGAGGAGGAGGAGGACGACGACGACGACGGCGAGAAGTAGGGGAGCGGAGAGGAGGGGAGGATAGGCACGACAGGGAGGAAAGAGGGACCGAACACGGAGGGGAGAGAACAGAAGGTGAAGAGACAGGTTTAGGAAGGATCTGATGGTGTGCTCAACAGAAATATCCCGCGACAATATGATTGCGCCGCCTTGTCTCCACAAAATTTCCACAGCCGCTTGCAGGATTTGTACACGCATCCACCTTTCAAGCCTGGAGCCGAACATGCTAGTGGGAAAAGACTCGCCAGTCGGAAAAACAACGACCAAACAGCAACAAGCATGCTTGGTGGGGATGCATCCAGCAAACGCCACTGAAAGTTGTTGAAGACAGAAATGCGCCGCCGTGCCGTGGGCACGCTGGGCGTGTCAAAATGCTGCTCTGTCGTCTGGCATTGCTTGTTTAATGCTTCTGGGGCCGTTCCACGCTACCTCGTAGCGCGAGTCGCCAGGAAACCGTCTCCGTGGTTTTGCAGTCTGGCGCGCCTTCCATCTTGCATATAAGCTACAGGTCAGCTCAAAATCATCAGAAACGCTCTCTGAAAGCCGCAAGAGCATCCAAAGACGGCCCAAGGAGCACCCAAAGGCTCCAAGACGCACCCTGAATTTGTGTTGCATCCTCAGGGGACATTGTCTGTCCCGTCGCGCCACGATCCACGTCGAATCCGTGTCGAATCCGTGTCGAATCCGAGTCGAGCGCGTCGAGTCCGTGTCGAATCCGTGCCGAATCCACGTCCACATCCGCTTCGAACCCACGTCGGAGTCCAAGAGAAGACTGCCATTGAAGGACAGGAAAGGTCCCCCGAAGATGCAACGCAACCCAAGACGTGCCCAGGAGGCCCCAAGGAACTTCCAAAATGGACTCTCAAAAAAGACCTCCGGCGAGGCTGGCAGGGGCGGAAACCACTGCAGAGCCTCCTCCTCCTCCTCCTTCGAAGGGGCGGAAACGACTGCAAAACCTGCTCATCCGTGTGCTTTTCTCGCGAGGCACTTCGGCTGCCTCCTCGCCTCGGGAAAGAGACACCTCGAGAACCTCGATATACTACCCGAGACGGGCCAAGAGGACTCCAGGACGGCCCCGTCACCGAGGGAACGAGGTCAGACCGCGCGCTGCACTGGCGTGGGTCTTAAACCTAACCTCCCTAAAGCTACGCTGCCTGCGCTGGCGCGGCAGCGGGGGGTTTGCCGCAGGCAGCTGGATAAACAGGTTCGCTAGTCATAAAATGCTCCAAAAGAGTACAAAGGAGCCCAGCACAGCACCATCATTCGAGAAAGGAACAACGCCATAAACATAAACATTTGGCGCTCCGCGCGGATTTTTTGGGATCTGCGCTGGACCCCGCTCCCTGGCGCGCGGGGCGCCGCCAGGGGGCCCAGCGCGGATCCAAGAAATCCGCTCGGAGCGCCAAAAGTTTATGTTTATGGCATTTTCTTCTTCGATCATGGAAAGGCACCCTGACGAAGAGGCTCTCAGCGCGGTTAACATGGGAGGCAGGGCAAGCCTGGCCGTCTACAGCAGAAAGTGAAAGGGTGTTCTTCAGACCTACGGTGAGCGAGTCACTGCCACATATCGTGTCGCTTCCGCTGCAGCTCGCGACGCCTTAGCTGTTGGCACCCCATCGCCATTCTCTCCCGACGTGATCCCCATCAACTGCAGACATGTGAAAGAAGCACTGATGGAACTCACGGTGGTAGCGATCGGTCATCAATGCCAGTGAACTTCCTTACATGGCCCCTGGTAACGTACGAACCTGAATTAGGGGCAATGCATGATGAAGGCGTGTGTGGCACATTGAGCTCGCAGAAACTTCTTGACGAGAAAATGAAAGCTCTATCTGAAAATCATGCTACCGGCAGGGCCTCAGTGGGCAGCGTGGTGGGGCCTCTGTGGGCGCGCTCGGAGCCCCAGTGGGCTGTGTCAGGGGCCTCAGTGGGCAGTGTGGCGGGGCCTCTGTGGACGCGCTCGGGGACCTCTGTGGGCTGCATGCGGGGCCCGAGTGGGCAGCGTGGCGGTGCCTCTCGGGATGCGCTCGGGGCCTCTGCGGGGGGCCTCCATGGCGCTCCAGCGGTGCCACGCTCACACAGTTTTCCAAGGCGCTCCCAGGAGAGCCCGAAAGCGGCGACAGAAACTCAGGCCTCCTCCGCCTTCTCCTCCTCCTCCTCCTCCTCCTCCTCCTCCTCCTCCTCCTCCTCCTCCTCCTCGTCCTCCTCCTCCTCCTCATCCTCCTCCTCCTCCTCCTCCTCCTCCTCCTCCGCCTCCGCCTCCGCCTCCTCCTCCTCGTCCTCCTCTGCCTCCTCCTCCTCCTCCTCCTCTCCTCCTCCTTCCCACCTCCTTTCCCTCCTCCTTCCACTCCTCCTTCTCCTCCTTCTCCTCCTCCTCCTCTGCCCGCACTAGAGGGACAAAAAACTGCGTAAGCGCAAACGCTCGACGGTGCGAGCGGACTTCTTGGATCCGCGCTGGGCCCCCTTCAAAGCGCGCCAGGGGCGGGGAGCCCAGCGCCCCGATCCGAGAAATCCGCGCGGATCGTCGGAAGTCGTTTCTTCTTCGACTCCAGAGAAATCCGCGGAAATCGTTTCTTCGTCGGAAATCCAGAGAAATCCGCGGAAATCGTTTCTTCTTCTTCGTCTTCGTTTCTTCGTCGGAAATCCGCGCGGATCCCCTGAGAGCGCTGCGAGTCCAGCCAAAGAAGAAGTGGATATCCGCGGCCCGAGCGCGTGGGATTCGGACTCCTACGTTGCCAACTCACGGGAGCCTACCATACCATCTTGTCGGCCCTTGCGAATCGACGCTAGTCGACGCTAAATCGACGCTAGTCCACGTTACATAAACGCTGGCCGACGCTTACTGACGCTAGATCGGCGCTATCTCATCGACTCCTCGACGCTATTCGACGCTAGTCGACGCCAAAGAAGGACTTGAAAGGATACACCAGGCTCCCGTGATTTGCTACCGAAACAGCGTGTTGTCGCCAAGTTTTCTGTTCTTCGCAGTCTGCAGGGCTCGGGCCACCACATGCCCCGATCGGGGGCTGCTTCATGGGGGGGGGCAGTAAACGGGGGGCGCGAGGCAAGCCGACGTTCCAATGTTGTTGGGTAAATGATGATCGTCGCCCGCCGTCGATGGCACCGTGCACGATTTGCGTGGTGCTCGAGGGGGCTCCTTGATCACGTTCTGTTGGTTCCGCCGAGCTCTGCCGCCGGTGTGCCGTCCGGGCGCCTGCCTTCTCTGTCTCTCTGCGCGAAGACAGGCGCATCCTTCGTGCACCGTCTGGGCCCCAGGGGCCCCCTTTGGACCCCTTGTGGGGCCCGGTTTCCGAAAAGGGGAGAGTTCATCCATCGATTTCTTCGGCACTTCTTGTTCTGAGAATGTGAGGCGGTGAACCCCATCCAGGACCGCATCGCGACAGTCACGGGCGCTGATCTCAGCGAAAACGCCCGACGCAACAATGCAGAAGATCTTCTGTAAAGTGCGCGAATAAATGCTAGAATAATCGAGTGGAACCGCGGGGGTTTTCGGACACCTACCAGAAAACGGCCGAAATCCGAGCTCATACAAGCACGTGGGCGAGGATGTATCAGGCGAAATCGTGACGCATGTAGAAACGCCAAAGGAAACCACACAGAACCGCGGCATTCTCAGAATGCATACAGGACAACGCCAGAAACCGCTCTGAAGACCGCGGATACTCGAAGAAATCCTCAGCGAAATCTGCATCTGGGGCCGTACCCCAGGATCCTGCGTTGTATTCATCTGTGTCGATTGATATGTCCATCGATCGATCTACATACGTGTACAAAAAAAGAAATACATATATAAAGATATTCCTAGTTTTTCTCTTGCACAGGGTGTCCGCCGACCCCTTGGGGATCATCGGCGTGTGAGATTCCTCCCCCTCCCCAAACCCCTCCCCCGGGAGCCTGGTCCGGTCGATTTGGAGGGGGGGGGGGAGGGTGCCCGGCCGGATTCCCCGGCGCGGCCCGGGGGGGGTCAACCGCTCCAGAGAATCTGCTGGGGGGGCCGAAAACGAGCTAAGAGGCTCCCAAGAAGCTCCCAAGACGGTCCAAGAGGGCCCCGAGACGCTCAAGATGGCCTCCAGACGGCCCAAGATGCCGCCAAGACGCTCCAAGAGGCTTCCAAGAGGCCTCCCAAGAGGGCTCCAAGAGGCCAAAATCGTTGACTTTCACTCGTTTTTTCAAAGTTTTTGGCCTTCTAGTTTTTGGCGTTTTCCGACGCTCCAAGACGGCGCAGGAGGCCCCCAAGACGGCCCCAAAACGACCGAAGAGGCCCCCAAGTGGGCCCCAAGACGGCTGAAGAGAGCGTCAGGACGGCCCAAGAGGGCCTCAAGACAGCCCAAGAGGGCCCCAAGAGGGGCCCAAGACAGGCTCCAGACGGAGACCACGAACCTAAATTTCTACCTCTCTGGCCCAAAATTCAACCAGGAGGCCCCAAGAGGCCCCCAAGAGGCCCCAAGAGGCCCCCATGAGGCTCCCAAGAAGCCCAAAAGAGACCCCAAGAGGCCCCAAAACAGCTCCCCAGAATCCTCCAAACTGCCTCTCGTAGGCCTCCGACAAGATTTTCACGATGGCGCCTTTCCGTCGCCGCCCTCGTCTTTCGCGTCGTGTTTGCCTGCTGTTGTTCACCCTCGTCTGTCGCCCCGTCTTCCCCCCCCCTCAGCTTTCTTCCCTCCACCACCTCACCTTCCACCCTCTCCGCCTTTTGCTCCTCCCCCCGTCCTCGCTCCTCCACGTCCCCCTGTCCATCCCGTCCCCAGTAGTCAGATGCCTCGCAACTTCCGTGTCTTGTCGCAGTGCCCGTCACTTGGGTCCGCCGGGCGTTTCGGAGGGTCTCTTCGCGGCGCTCGTCCCGCTTTGAAGCACCTCGCGCACACCACTGGGGTGTTTCGCTTGAAATAATTATTCTTCTGGTCTCTCGAACGGGCCAAGAGCCGCCCAAGACGGCCCAACAGAGACCCAAGACGGTCCCAACAGGGGCCCAAGACAGCCCAAGAGGCGGCCAAGACGGCCCAAAAGAGCCCCACAACGCCACAGGAAGCACTTAGAGGCCTCTAAGAGGCACCAAGAGGCCACCAAGAGGCGCACACGAGGCCGAAAGAGACACCTCTGAGGCATAAAATATGCTTCAAACCGGGCTCCCAAAGGCACCGACACCGACACCATGAGCGAAGGCGACGCGCCGCGAGCCCCCCCAGGGGGTCGGCGGTGTGGCGTAAGCCCAAGAACCTAGAGCTCCGACTACTTTATTCCGCGTCGCACCCCCCCCCCGCGTCCCCAGCGCCAAAGTGGGACCTCCGCGCCGTGGCTCTCTGCCCCGAACCCCCCGCGTCCCCAGCGCCCCAGCGGGAGCCCCGCCCACTGCCCCCTCCGCCACGAACGCTATATTCCGCGTCGCACACACACACACACACACACCGCGTCCCCAGCGCCAGAGTGGGACCCCCGCGCCGTGGCTCTCTGCCCCGAGACCCCCGCGTCCCCAGCGCCCCAGCGGGAGCCCCGCCCACTGCCCCCTCCGCCACGAAAGCTTTATCCCGCGTCGCGACGCACACCACCTCCCCCACCTCCCTCCCCGCGTCCCCAGCGCCCCAGCGGGGGCTCCGCCCCGTGCCCCCTCCGCCCCGACAATTTGATTCCGCGTCGCGACGCACACCACCTCCTCCCCTCCCCCCCCGTCCCCAGCGCCCCAGTTGGACCCCGGCCCCGTGGCCCTCTGCCCCAAGCCCCGTCCAGTGCCCCCTCCGCCACGACCATTTTATTCCGCGTCGCGACGCACACCACCCCCCCCCCCTCTCCGCGCCCCCAGCGCCCCAGTGGGACCTCCGCCCCTTGCCCCCTCCGCTCCGAGCACTTTATTATGCGTCGCGACGCACACCACCTCCCCCCCCCTCCCCACCTGGGACTTGGGCCCCGTTGCTGGGCCCCGAGGGGCGATGTGTTGCCCCCTCTTCCCCCCTCCTCCTCCACCTCCTCCTCCCCCTTCCTTTTTGTGCAAGAGCCATGGCACACGTGCCACTTGTATATATTTATAGGGCCGGGAACCCCGGAAAAAGCGCGCGCACACACACACACACACACCTAACGAGTTTCGGACTCCCCGGGCTGCTTGAAGCCCCCCCGGGCTGCTCGGACGCCCTTGGAAAGGGTTCATTCAGCTTTCCGGCCTTCTCGGAAGGTCCAAAGAGGCCTCCAATATTACCCAAGACAGCTCGTCGACAGTTCCAAAGCACACCAAAACCTTCAACATGGCTTCCAAACGCCCCAAGAGGCCTCCAAGAGGCTTCCCAAGAGGGCCCGAAGAGGCAAAATGCATTGATGTTTCAATAGTTTTTGAAGGCTTGTTCGGTTTTCGCTTTTTCCGGGACACGAACGGCCCAAGACGGCCCAAGAGGCTCCAAAGATCGTCCCAACACGGCCCAAGAGGCCCCCCAAAGGGCTCGAAAACGACCCAAGAGAGCCCCTAGACGGCCCAGAGGGCCCGAAAACTACCAAGGGAGCCCCAAGACGGCCCCAAGAGAGCCTCAGGAGCACCCCAAGAAGCTCCCAAGAGGGCCCCAAGACAGCCCGAAGACGGCCGAAGGCCTCCAAGACGCTGCAAGACGGCCCGAAAGGGCCCCAAAGCGGCCCAAGAGAGTCCCAAAAGGGCCCCCAAGAAGGCCCAAAGAGGCAACATTCACTGATTTGTTGAAAATGTTTGAATGATTTTTCGGTTTTCGCTTTATCGGGCCACGAACGGCCCAAGACGGCCCAAGAGCGTTTTACATGGAATTTACCTGTAAAGAAGTTGTTGCACGGATGTAGACATGGTTTAACATGAAATTACCGTGTAAAACGAGCGTCAAACGCTCTTGGGACGTTCAGACGTTGGAAGGCGTTGTCACTTGATATCCATACGTGCATACATACGGACACATTCACATGTGCACACACATCCCCCCCGAACGCATCTCGGACTCCCCGGGCTGCTGGGAAGCAAGCCCCTTCCCGGGCTGCTCGACCTGCTGGGAAGCTCCCCGGGGGCTGCTCGGACGCTCTTGTAACGGGGTTATTCGACCTTCCGGCCTGAGGTGTTCAGACCACTCTTGGCTTGAGACTCCCTCGCACAGCTGACTTCGGAGATGACCTGCCCCGTAATGCTCGGGCCAATTTCGCCTGAGACATCCTCGCAACGTCAACCTCGAATACGCCTTGCCGCGTAGCAATCAGACACGTAGCACTCCGACACGTTCACAAGGCCTCCTGAACTTTCCCAAAGGTTCTGGCGGCGCCCGTCGTTGAGTCCCTATCAGGTCCGCCTGTCTTTCAACGCTCTCGGAGGCCAGCTCCCAGCGTCTTGCATCCGCGTCAGTTCCAGCCTCCATGCCATGATTTCCGATCCTGAGCGTTCGTGCCTGCCTGTCCTCGGGTCCGCGGGACTCCTCCCATTACTCTTTCCCTTCGCCTTCCTCCTTCCCACTGTCGGCTGAGACATCCTCGCAACTCTGACCCCAGAGAAGCCCTGCCCCAAGGTTGTCCGGCCACTTCCGCTTGAGACCTTCTCGCAACTCTGGGTTCTGGGGTTCCCCGAGCTGAGGTGTACCGGCCACTTTCGCTAGAAACATCCTCGCAACTCTGGATTCCGAGATGCCCTGCCGCAGAGTAGTCCGCCACTTTCACCTGAGACATCCTCGCAACTTTGGATTCAGGGATGCCCTGAGCTGAGGTGTTCAGGCCATTTTCGTTTGAGACATCCTCGCAATTCCGGGTTCGGGTATGTCCTCAGCTGAGGTGGTCAGTTCACTTTCGCTTGAAACATCCTCGCAACGCTGACATCGGAGATGCATTGCCCCGTAGTAGTCTGGCTACTTTCGCCTGAGACCCTCGCACCTCTGAGTTGCGAGATGCCCTGAGCAGGCAGTCAGGCCATTACCTCCTCACATACGCATGTGTATGCGCACCCATCATTACATATGGGCGCGTGCACCAACAAACACCTGCGATTGACATATACATACACATACACATGCTTATATGGAATGTATACACATATACAACAGCATACATGTTTGGTATACACATAGATGTGTGCAGAGCGTGCATGCGCGAGCGAGTGTATACATGCATGCACGCATGTACGTACGCACGCACCCCGCTTGCGTGCGAAACTCTGAGGACCAAGGTGCATGGCGCGCAGCGCCAATGCATCCTTGTAAATATATATATATATATATATATATATATATAATCACGGTGGGGAGCACCACCGCCGTCTGCCGCTGGCTGCCGCTGCAGTCAAACCATGTAATAAGGATGCGCGGATGCAAGGGCCTTGGAGGGCCATGCTAACGGTTTTCGGGCGAGGTTGGCCAGTGAAAGTCGCTCAGGATGTGCCGAAGGGTCAAGGATGCAAGGGCAGCCCTGGAAAGGTTGCCCATCCATACTATGCGGGTTGACTGTATCTCCGCCGCCATCGCCATCGCCGCCAGCAACCTCGCCACCCATCCTCGCCAGCATCGTCAGCGCCGCCTCCGCTGCTGTCGCCGCCGTCACCCTCGCCGCCGCGGGGTCCTCGCCACGGGTTGCTCGCCGTCGTCGAGCATGCTCGAGCCAGAAGAGTGCCTGCTCGGCCCACATTGCCCGAGGGAGACGGGTGCTGGACCACGGGGCTGTCCCCTGGGGCCAGCTCTGTCGCCCTGAGACGATTTAGATCGTCCTGGGGCCCGTGGAGGGCCCCGGGAGCCCGAAAACGGCCGAAAACCTTCCGCACACGTCTCCCTCGGGACCCGTCTGCGCTTCATGGAGAGCATCCCCCTCTCCTTCGACCGAGCCGTCCGAGGGCGGGGCGCAGGGGTGTCGGCCCTGTCGGTGATGCGGCGCCTCGCCTGCGACCTGCGCTCCCCGAAGTCGGTGGGCCTCCGGCCTGGTCTGCCCGACTCGTCGGTGGCCTTCCGGTCCACGCCCGCGCCGCCAGGACCTCGACGACGACGACGACGAAGACGAAGACGAAGACGACGACGATGACGTCAGCGCCTACGCCTACGCCTACGCCTACGCCTACGCCTACGCCGACGCCGACGCCGACGCCGACGCCGACGCCAGCACCGACGACGAACGCGGCGACGACGACTACACCGACGCCGACGCCGATAACGACCACGACCACGGCCACGACCAAGACGACGGCGACCGCGACGGCGACCGCGGCGGCGACGACGACGGCGGCGGCGGCGGTGGCGGGGGTGGCGGCGGGGTCGGCATGGTTCGTTTTGCTTCTGCTGCTGGTGCCGCGTCCGCTCCCTCCTCCAGCGCCGCATCCTTTTCACCTTCTGCCTCCCTTTCGTCCTCCCCCCAACCCTTCTCATCCTCCTCCTGCCTCCTCCCCCTCCTCCTGCCTCCTCCCCCTCCTCATCCAGCCACCTACCCCTGGGATCTTCGAGCGGCGGGCGGTTGGCTTCCACGAAAAGATGCCCTCGTGAGCCTCCATTCCAGACCTTGGGGAAGAAGGGCGGAAAAGATCTCTGATGTGGGGGAAAAAGCGAACGATAACACGGCGGGACGGCGAAGGACCAATGCTGAGGCAGACGCGGGCAGGTGCTCTTGGAAGAATGCGCATGGTGCGCGAATGGTGCAAAAGCCTTGCACATGGTTTCACCCTCCGCCTCCCCTTCCGCTCATTCCTCCCTCCCTCCATCCATCCATCCATCCCACCCTCCCACACTCCCACCCTCCCTCCCTCCCTCCCTCCATCCATCCCTTGTTCTCTCTCTCCCTCCCTCCCTCCATCCATCCATCCCTACCTCCCTCCTCCTCCTGGTCCTCTCCTTCTTACTACTACTGTTTGTTTATCATCATCAGCATTATTAGTATGATTAGCATTACTAACTGAATAGTAATAGTATTACTACCACTAATAGTACAACTAGTGTTATTAGTATTAGTCGAACTATTAGTATTCTTAATATGAAGAGTCCTAGTATTACTAAGATTGCGATTATGCTGACCAATTGCACTCGTCGCATAGTAATGAAAAGCAATCCGATCAAAGAATATACATAGTATGACTACTCTCATGAGTAGTAATATCAGTCTTGAAATTTGGATTTGTAGAGGACTAGAAATATTAATATTCATGATGAGCGTCTTGTTAGTAGTCGCGTTACTCATATTCTTCGTATAACAAATCGTCACACTAATACTTGAGTACTACTCATAACATCACTACGAGTAGTATTCATGACATCACTAATAATATGATTAGTGTTGTTAGTGATAGTACTGAAAGTACTAGTAGTCTCACTATTAGTGCGAACAAAAGTGTTGTTACAAGTATTAGTAGTGTCACTGTGATGTGCGATCGTACTCTTAGCATTTATAGGACTTATATTGTTCAAATAGCGAAATGATTAATATGATCATTGTTTTGGTCTTTACTTATTCTTACAAGTAAATATTAATATGACTATTCTTCGTATTGTTATTAGTGTTCTTCGTTTTGTGCTACGAATATTATTATCAATATCCGCCGGCCCCCTTGTGGGGCCACCAAGCTGCAGGGCTAAGATTCGCAGTTTTCTGTACCAGTTTCAGCTTCCAGTTTCCACTGTTACAGTTCTATTTCTTGCTGCTTACCGTTCCTTCTTGACTTCTTGCTGCATACTGTTCCTTGTTGATGGACCGCGCGAGGGGGGGGAGGCCCAAAGCGGGCATTTTTACCACGCCATGAGAGTGTTGTCTGAATTGCTGGGGTGCGTAAAAATTTACACCCCTCACGCAGGTCGGCGGGGTCAGGGTCCAAAAGCATAAGGGATTTGCCACATTTCTGACATTCGGTGGCACCCATCACGCAGATCGGCGGGGTCAGGGTGCAGAAACACAAAGGATTTGCTACATTTCTAAAATTCGGCGGCACCCCTCACGCAGATCGACGGGGACAGGATCCAAAAACACAAGGGATTTGCAACATTTCGGAAATCCGGTGGCACCCCTCACGCAGATCGGTGGGGACAGGGTCCAAAAACACATGGGATTTGCAACATTTCTTACATTCTGTGGCACCCCTCACGCAGATCGACGGGGTCAGGGTCCAAAAACACACCGGATTTGCTACATTTCTGATATTCGGTGGCACCCCTCACGCAGATCGGCAGGGTCAGGGTCCAAAAACACACCGGATTTGCCACATTTCTGAAATTCGCAGCACCCCTCACGCAGATCGGCAGGGTCAGGATCCAAAACATCGGGATTTGCCAAATTTCGGAAATTCGGCGGCACCCCTGACGCAGATCCGTAGGGTCAGTGTCCAAAAACACAAAAAGGATTTGCCACATTTCTGAAATCCGGTGGCGCCCGTGACGCAGATCCGTAGGGTCAGGGTCGAAAGACAAACAGGTCCCGACACTGCTTCACGGCGGCGTCCAGACCTCATGATTTAGTTCTTGCATCTCCCATTATCCGAGAGACAGGGGGCCGGCGGCATGGGGCGAAGCCCTTACGGATTATCATTGGAAAACATATGGTAAAATATTATTCATACTGTATGGATTGTTATGAGTCTTCGCCATAGTATTGGTGTTTCTATTAATAAAAATGATTAACATGAATAGCCCTATTGTTATTCTATCAATATTACGATACCTGATTGTATTATTATTACTCCTCCTCCTCCTCCTCCCGAGGAGGAGGAGGACGACGACGACGACGACGACAACGAAGGAGGGAGAAGGCGAGGAGAAGGCGGAGTGGGGACTCCCCTTGCCGAGGAATTGGCAAGCCAGGGGGGCCTCGGACGCGGTCGCTCCTGTGCCGGGTCTGCAGCCGCAGGCCGGTCGGCGGGTCTCCGCGCAGGCTCCTGGGGGAGCACAGACATGTGCGGATGCCGCTGATCGTCCCCAGGGCTCCCCTGGTCTCCGACGGCACCGTGGATTACGACCTCGCATGCCGGGCCCAGAATCCGAATCCGGGAGGAGAGAACACCCCCTGGGAAGAGGTCCGGTCAAAGGCAAGGGGACACGGGGGGGTATCAGTGGATCTCGAAGTGGGTTATAACTGGCCTAAGCGAGCTTGTAAGTGGGTCACTCGTACTCAACATGCGTTAGGGGGGTTCACCATCCATGCCGAATGAGCTCCGCACACTTGGCGGAGTTACCTAGCCCCCCTCCCCCCCCGAAGCCACGTGGCGCATGCGGAACCAACTCGTAAACCAGCGAAGGCCGGACATGACCTACCTTGGCATCCACTGACTGCCCCCCTATCCCCTCAGCATCTTACCTGAGCACCCCCTTTCGCCCATCCCAGTGCCTCCAAACCTCTCGACCCCTCACCCAGCAGGCCAGAAGCGTGGCTCCCGCTAAATAGGCTGGGGTTGCCAGCCTCCCCGCCGCGGTGGCGGTGCGCTGCGCGGAGGAGGCTGGCGCCCCCGCCCCCGCCCCCGCCGCGCCCACTGAGGGGCCTCAGGCCCCTTTCGGGGAGGCGTACAACACGGGTTCGGGGGACTAGGAGAGTCCGCGGGTCTGGAGGACGCATCAAGCGGCGCGGCCTGTTCCAGATCGCTCTTAAGCGCGTCACGAAATGCTGTGGAACTCCAGGCCCCCCAAACACAACAAGGCATGCAAACGCCTCGGTCCTCGAGTCTCCGTGTCGGGGAGACGTAAGACTCGAGTCTGCAGGACTCGCGTTGGCCTGACTGGGCCGTCGAGATAATAACGAAACCCAATCTTCAGTTTGACGCGAAATCCTGCTGCAAACATCCCCACGAAAACGGGACTGCTAAGATCCAAGACGGGCCCATCAAAAACCGCCGGCGGGCGGGACCGAACTCGGGCGATCTAGCTTCACGTTTCAGTGGCCATTATCAGATCGAAGCGCCCCTTCACGCCTCCGCCCTCCCAAACATGCTCGCATCGCACAAAAAAAAAAAGGCGGGGCAGTGGGTCGTCGGTTTCGGCCTTGGAGGGCCCCAGGCATGCCCACGGACTGTCAAAAATTATTAAAACCACGTTTGCTGTTGATCACATGTGCATATATACATAGATACATACATACATACATACATGCATACATACCTACATACATACATACAGCATACATACAACATACATACTTACATACATACATACATACATACATGCATGCATGCATGCATGCATACATACATGCATGCATACATACATACATACATAATACATACATACATACATACATACATTCATACATGCATGCATACATACATATACATATACATATGCATGTACAAATATATATACCTATACATACATATACATATGCATATGCAAATACATATGCATATACATATAAAAATACATACACATTTATGTATACATATACATATACACATACCTATACATATAATTATACATATGCATATACATATACATAGACATGTACAAATACATATACATATACAGATACCTATACATATACGTATACATATACATATACGTATACATATGTATATTTGTACATATGCATATACATATACATATGCATGTACATACACATATTCGTATATGTATATATACATACACATACACGTGCACATGTACATATTCATATACAAATACATACACATATATATACACATATACACATAAATCTGCATATATATATGTACATATGCATATACATATACACATACATATACATATACACATACGTATACACATACATATACACATATATATGCGTATACATTTACATGTACATATACATATACATGTACATATATAGCTACATGTACATGTATATATATATGCACATATACATATACATATACATATACATATACATATACATGTACATACACATACACATACACATACACATACACATACGCATACACATACATACATGCATACATACATACATGCATGCATGCATGCATGCATACATACATACATGCGTGTATATACATAGACACACATATATATATATATGGTCGCCCCCCTCCCAGCAGGTCGGGCCGCCCCCGCCGGGCGAAGATGCCGACCGCCCAGGCGGTCGAGAAGCGGCCTCTGGGCCTCTGGAGCTCTCCTGGGCTGCGCCCCCCTGCCAGAACTTCGAGGCGGCTGCGGCCGTGGCCACGAGAAGCCTGCAGGTGGCCCCATAACTGTCCACGGCCCTCGACCTTCGATTGTCCAAAGCAGATGAAGAAGAAGAAGAAACAACAACAACAACAACAACAACAACAACAACAACAACAACAACAACAACCACAACAACAAGCACAACAACAACAACAACGACGACAACAATTACAACAACAACAACAACAACAACAACAACAACAACAATCATTTTACCCGAACGCGTGGTGTTCTCCCCAGTGCCAGGGTTTTCATACGACACCAGGCAATACCCCCACTTCGTGGGGGGGCATTACAAGCTCTACCAAATATCCAAACGACTCTTCGCGACCACCCAAACCCAGCTTCCCGCCCTATGACGTTGGGACACTTCACTTCGTGGCGTGCGGACGACCGTGGCTACTACACTGGCGTGGGGTACACACCCACAGAACCCAATGGTTTTTGGAGATTTCGGCGTGCGCGCGCGAAGAAAAAACGAATGTGTCCCGCATGGTATTATTTGACAGGGATGATGGCCCTGGCAGGTGCGCAACCGTTGTCGCAGAAGTTCGAAAAAGTTGCTCGCAAAAGCCCGTTTGACAGAAATGTTTAAAAAGTGTTGGGTTTCCTACGAATCCGCAAGAGCGCGCGGGATGAGATTTTGACATTTTTTTGTTGAAAAACCATTGGTTTTTTGATGTTTTTATGTTAAAATCGCTCCGAACACTAAGCTTTTGGAAGGATTTCGTCTTGCGCGCGCGAATGTCCACTTTACCTTATTTTTTGCAAGGGATTCTTGAAATTTGATTATATTAGAACAAGAAATTCATTTTATAGTGTTTTTTGCAAGGGAAAGCGGATTACAACAAAACAACCGGATCTGGATGACATCGAATTACCTGAGGCTTCCTCACGAAAATGATGAAAACGTGGCTGCGGCCTAGGCGCGGCGGGGGGGGCGCGCACCAGGGGGCCCAACAATAATTATTCTTTAGAATTAATAATGTTCAACAACAACAACAACAACAACAACAACAACCAGAAGCTGTTGGCGCTGCGTACATTTAAACATTTCATGCGTCCATGATTGCCGAGGTCTGCCACGCCTGCGCCAAACGGCGCAGTGCCTAGGGCAACCGTCTTCGCTGCAAACTGGGCGAATTTGCGATCTTACTGCAAAGCAAAAATCCGAACAAACATCTGGGACATCTCATGAAAGCTTGCCTGCCAAAGCACCTCGGAGTTGGTACCTCGAATACAAGGATGGCGATCTGCCCAGCAGCTTCCACACAAGCGACAATGGAACGCATCGAATATCGTTCGGTCCGCTGTTATAAGCCAGACCGATTCAAGACACGACATTAGTTTACTCAACTCGCAAGTGTTGTAGATGATCGACTTCTTCCAATGGAAGGCCCAGGACCACATCACATGGGATTGAGCTGCTTGCAGGTTGTGGATGCTTCCCCACGCCTCCTGGATGGTTCCCGCGAAACTTTTCCATCGCAAGTCTGCAATCCACCGAGGTATCTTGTTTCGCGGACCACTTTGCTATTCGCACACGAAGGCTACGTAACCACACTCGGCGTGGAAGTTGGCACATTCACCATTCGCTTCCCCGCGAAAATCAATTCTATACGAAGACCATCAAAGTGATCGCAGCCAGCATCTTATGAAGATCCCCCGGATCTTGTGATACGAGCAACGTGTCGTCCGCCTTTCTGCATAACTACGAACGGCGGCCCCGAGTCAAATTGAACATTCGCCGAACATGGGCACACACTTGTGTTATGCATGCGAGTTGTCGCCTCTCCGTAGAACTTCCTGCGTGGTCGACAATAACGAAATACCTGGAGCCATAAGTCGGCCCGATTACGATCTGGTGGGGCTCCAAAGTGCACCAAAGAGTCGCACATGCAGTCCCAAATAACTTTGTCGGGCGCCTTACCCTAATCTAAGAGCATTAGGATGATCCCGTTGTTGTTGATGTGGGCAGCGTCAATCATGCGCCTGGCCAGAAAACAGCGCATACGCTGAAGCTCGACCCCGTCGAAATCCGAATTGCGAAGTACTCGTTATGTGTTGCGTGCCCCCCCCCTCACCAAACGATTCGAGAAGAAACTGGCCAACACGATGTACCCCACTGGTAGCAGCGATATAGGTCTGTAGTTTTCTGGTAAAGCAGCGTTCCCTTTCAGAACTACATTTGCTCGTCTCCAAGTCTCTGGAATACGTTTTCAGCCCAAGCATTCTTGACACAAGTGTAACAGGATATCACGCGCGCCGCGGTCGGAGGCTTGCAACTGCAAGACCTCTCATGGCTTTCCGTCCAGTCCTGCTGCCTTGGAGGCTTTTAGCTTGCGGGAAACAACTTGCAATCCGCGATCAAAGAACTGACCCGTATCGATCGGGATTGTCGCACCGAATTGCGTGTGGTGCGTCGGCATGTCGTTCGGAAAATTGTATTTCCATTGCGTTGTTTCGAAGTAGTCTGCTATAACATTGGCCCAGTCAGCTGTGTCCAATAATGAACCGTCTGGACGTTGAATCGCGACATGTGTTAGAACTCTCGGCTTCCTCATGTGGCGCACGGCGTCCCAACTACCAGAGGCTATTTTCCTTCCAGCGTGCGGTCGTTTCTTGCACGATCGCCGAATATGCTTGTTCATGTGATTCTCGTTGCCGTGATCTCCGTTGCGACGAATTTGGCTCATCCATGATCGTCTTGGCGCTACCTCCTTGGCGTGGAGAGAACATTGGCCGCCTGCGCAAAGCAAGCTCGAAAAGTCTCCGTGGAGGCGTTCGGGCCGTCGGAGCTCGGCATGCCGACCGCTGCGTTGACCGAAGCAGACATGAAATGCCTCGTAGTGTCCGAGTCGCCTGAGATGGGCTTAAGAGCACGACATGGTGCCGAGTTTGCGTGCGTCCCGGATTCAACAGTAGAATCAGCGATAGCGGTGACATGGTGGGTGTTCAATGCTGTCGTGCGATCGCTCCAACAGTTCGATATTCATTGCGATTTGCTCTGATGGCATAGGACATGGCCGATCTGAGGGAAAGCCGCTGTTGTCACAGGCAGTTCCACCGCCTTCGTCGCCAAATCCCGATAACTCATAACAGCCTATTCGCGCGCAACGCACGTCTCCATTCGGCGGCGAGCGAGTGGGGGAACTGAGAAGGGGCGTGCCGTCTCAGAAGGCTCGGAAGCCCCCCGGCCTTCCGAGGAGTTCTCTAGGCCCTCCCCGAAGACATAGAAAAGACCTCCCGGGAGGCCGAAGGCCTTCTGAGGAGCAGCGCCGCCCTGTGAGAAAGCCTCCCCCTTCCTGCTCCCCCCCTCGCTCGCCGCCGACTCTGCCTACCGACGATGAGTGGGCGTCTGGGGGTCGATGCGGCCCCCCTTGCACCTCTTCCCCCCTTAGCATGGACGCCCATCGGGCCTCCAGGGAGCGCGCGGAGCGGCGCGGGCGCTGCTCCTCCGGAGCCTCCCCTCTCTCACTCCCCCCCTCGCTCGCCGCCGATCCGTGAACGACCGACAACCTCCAAGATCAGAGGCGACGATAGGGGCGAATAGCCCCGGGGAGAGCCATACATGTATTCAGGTGCGCCGATGATCTATGTCTTCGAAAAGGCTCCCGGGCGAATACGTGTAATGGCCGCCCCTGGGCTATTCGCCCCTACCGTCGCGAGCCCGCTGTCGCACCCTCGTCCCGCCCGGATCTGGGGGCGGCTCCCGCCCCGGCCTCCAGGCCCGGTGCCTCCAGGCGCGGGCCGCCGGGGACCCCTGGCCCTCCCCTGGGGTGCGCACGGGCCAGGACTTTTCGAGGCGCGCGCGGCTGCGGCCACGGGAAGCCTCGGGGTGGCCCAGAGACGTCCAGGCGCTCGCATCCCTCGAACCCTCGGACCTCTCCTCTGCCAGGGTGCTGCCAGAAGCGCCTCTGGCCCAAGATGTCCGCACGATCTCCAGGGAGACCCAGGTGGCCTCCAGAACTACCCCCCCACGAGGCCAAGAGTTCGGTGGCAACTCACGGGGGCCTCCCATACCATCTTGTCGGCTCTTGCGAATCGACGCTAGTCGGCGCTAATCGACGCTACATCGACGCTAAAGCGACGCGAACCGACGCTAGATCGGCGATGTATCTCCATCGACTCTCAGCTGCCAGGCTCCCATGATCTGCTGCCCACCAAGAGGGCCCCTCCCCGGAGCCCCATGCGCGGAGCGAGAGGCCGGGGGCACCCTGGGCCAGGGGCGCCGCCAGCAGCCCCCGACAGGCTTTGGGCTCCTGCCGGCGCCTCCAGGCGCGGGTCGTCCGAGACCTGAGGGGGACGTCACTGGAGGCCCTCTCGCTGGGGTCCGAGTAGACGGGGTCGGACGATCTCGCCGCATCGCCGATACATCGGCGATGCATCGGCGATGCATCGGTGATGCACCGGCGATCCATTTTCGACGTCGGCGATGCATCGGCGACGTCGACGTGAACCGAATCGGGCTCCACATCGAGCCGCATCGGCGACGCATCGGGGATGCGGTTCGACCCCTTCTACTCCGATCCCATCTAGGAGGCCTAGAGTCACGGGAGGACCAGCTCGGGAGGGGGGGCACCGTGAGGAGCAGAACTCTGTACACCGACGCTGTTTGCGGCCCCGCGCTGACATTCACACAGGAAAGCGGGTCCTGGTGTATACGGGATCCTGGTGTATGCATTTGTTTCGCTGCTTCCCCGGGCGCAACAGGGAAAACGTATACACCACACCACCCCGACGTCGTCCCTGACCCTCCAAAAGTCCGGGAATTGAAAAAACAGCCCACCACTGGTAGTGTATATGCTCCAGCTTCCGACATCGACCTGGAATCAGCGATTGACCACCAACAGTTCGGCGACAGGCCTCCGACAATGAAACCACAAGGCCCCGGGCGGGGGGGGGGGCCATCGGGCTCCTGTGGGCGATGAATGGGCAGGTAGGGGCCGATGCATCCCCCCATTGGGATTGGCGATTGGGGGTCGGCGCTGTTCTCGTGCGTCACTCGTGCGCTCTGGTATTATGTAATTGGCGTTCTGCTGGCTCGCTGCTTCTTATGTCGGCACGCCCTGTATTGATTTGGCCAGACATACGCCGATACGTATAGGTCGGGCATGTCCTCGTACAGGCGGATTTCGAACGAAGAAAAAGCACAAACAAACAATCAAGAATTATGAAAAATCGTCGAAAAATCGTCCCCGGACTATGTTTTGACTATCTTTAATATTCCTTCTGTAGAGGGACATGCCCGACTTAACGATAGTGACCGCCACTGCAGTGTCGTATCCTGGGGAGGACGCAGCAACGATACACTGTGACTCGCCCAACCCTGAGCTTAAGTATCCTCTCTCATGCTGCCTATCTGGAGGCCTCCTAGATGGGGTTGAAGCAGATGGGGTCGGAGGATCACGCCGCCTCGCCGATACATCGGCGTTGCATCGGCGATGCATAGGCGATACACTGGCGATGCATCGTCGACATCGGCGATATATCGGTGACATCTGCGTGGAAAAAATCGGGTTCCGCAACGCGCCGCTTCGGCGATTCGTCGGCGATGCGGCGCGATTCTCCGACCCTATCCGCTCGGACCCCATATGGGAGGCCTCGACCGTCTCGGAGCAAGGCGAACTGAGACAACGGCAGCTCAAAATCGGTCCACGGGCTCCTCCCGAGGTGCAAAAACGCACCAGTTGTCCGAGCTGCGTCCAGCAAAGGCGAGACACATGGGCACCGCGAAGGCGAACTACCGTGGTCTCGGCCCGTCCTCTTCTTTCGGCGGCGAGCGAAGGGGGGAAGTGAGAAGAGGCGGGCCTTCTCAGAAGGCTCGGAAGTCCCCCGGTCTTCTGAGAAGTTCTCTAAGCCTTCCCCGAAGACACAGAAAACCTCTAGGAAGGCCGAAGGCCTTCTCAGAAGCCTCGCCGCCTTCTCAGAAGGCCTTCTCTTTCTCGTTTCCCCCCCTCGCTCGCCGCCGATTCTGCCTACCGACGATGAGTGGGCGTCTGGGGGTCGATACAGCCCCCCTTGCACCTCTTCCCCCCTAGCGTTACCGCCCATCGGGCCTCCAGGGAGCGCGCGGAGCGCCGCGGGCGCTGCTCGCCCGAGACCTCCAGAGAGCGCCGCGGGCGCAGCTCGCCCGAGACCTCCAGAGAGCGCCGCGGGCGCAGCTCGCCCGAGACCTCCGCGAATCGGCGCGGGCGCGGCTCCGGCGGCGAGACCGTCCCGGGGCGCGGAGCTCGCGCGACGACGACAAGACGAGAATCGGCGACGACGACGACGACGAGAATCAATGACGACGACGACGACGATGACGACTACGACGACGACGACGACGACCACGACCACGACGACAACGACGACGACGACGACGACGACGACGACGACGACGACGACGACCCGCGCGCCCGCCGCCGCGCCGCAGCGCTGCGTCCGCCCCACGGGTCCTTGCCGCCCTGCCCGCGCACGGGCAAAGAGCCGCGGACCGCGCGGCGGGCCAAGATCGGCCCTTGCCGTCGCTCGGACGTCCATTTCCCGTGCACTCTTCGGTTTCGTGCGTGTTTTTGTTGCTCGATGGTCCAGGATGGTCCTCGATGGTTCTCGCCAAGAAAAAAGGCACACGTCTGAGCGATGCCAAGGGTCGGCATCGGGCCAGGAGATCGGCACGAGGCTTAGTCAAAGGGGCCCAAGAGCAAACAAATAAGTGCACACAAATCCCTGGATTCCCAATATCATCTGATGTTTTCTGGGTCTCCGTCTTCCCCCCCAACTCCCAAATCTTCCCATATCATCCTGGGAGTCGGTCGATCAATTGTGTCTGTGTGTTTTGTCCCCTCCTGATTCATAAGCGTCGGGCAGGGCCCCATCGGCACGGAGCTGGCATCGAATCGGACTGGCCGTGCCAGGTTACGTCGTCTGCACACCTCTCGACGGCCATCGCCGCGTCGGCGATCCTGGCCATCAAGAACCAAGTTGCAAGAAGGTTGAAAAAGGAATTGTCGAACGCTGGGTATTCGACTGATTCCAACTTGTCATCATCATAGTGTTATGAGCAAAGAAGTACGGACACGTTTCCCTTGCATACTCCAATATGTGCCCTGTACACGGAAGTGTCTGTCACAACCGCAGGCGCTACACGAAATGATCTGGCCATCTGATCCATGGAGTTTAGCTTACGTCCTTACCTTTGCAAGTCGTATGTATACCACCTTTGCCTTTCTCGTTCCACCCAGGACAAATTCCTCAAAGTCGTGATCAGCAAGATCAACTAGGAATGTGGCCATTCCCGACCCATGTAGCCTGCGAGAACGCTTACCACCCTCACGGCGTCCCTTACCCTTACGACGGAAATGACCGTCGCCCTGCTCGTTTGAATATCCTTGCTGACTTCTTTATATGTCGCTTCTAATTGCGTTTAGCGTCATGATATACTAGGTATAGGTATTACGCTGTTTGATCGCCGCCAGCGGCTGACTCTGACCAGCCAGTCCCAGCAACACCGGTGGATGAGCAGGTGCCCGCGTCGGCTCCTGAATCGCAGGGCGAGTCAAGGTGTTGGCCTGATGTAGTCGCAGATCGTGGTGAGTTTTTGGCTGCAGCTGCAGCCGACCAGGTGTTGGTGGGGTCAGTTGCTTGTGCACAGCCAGTTTCCTGGCCCAGAAGCGTCGTGGGTTCGTTTGGCTCCTGGTCGCCCCAGACATTGCCAGGCGTGGCCGCCAGTGCGTTGCTCACGTCAGCGTGGAAGGTACTGGCAGCTCGACCACTGAAAACCCCGCCACAGTTTCCAGGTGCGCGCTCAGCTAAGTGTCCGCATGTGCACACTCGCTCCAACAATTTGCCGCAGTATTGATGGGTTCCGGGCATCTGGCGTGGGTTGTAATAGCTGTGGGGCTCGGGAAGTGCCTACCCCCAGAGCTCGAAACAGGAGGAACGCCAAGATCTGAAAGTCCAGGATGTTGAATCCAGCCGAATCCGCTTCCAGTTTGGTCATTTCGAAATGGGCGGATTCCGAATCGATGCGTTCACCTCGGTCGATCCTGAAGTCGACGAAGTCTGTTCCCGATGTGATTGGTCGCTCGTCTTCGAGATTTTCAAATTTGGTGTCGAGACGGAACACGATGTATGCAACACGGTCAGCGCAATTACCCTGTAAGATTACGCCGCATTGTATGATCGATGGCGGTACTGTCATAGCCAAAATCATGGTTAGGCCTCCAAAGCCTCGCTGCAAACCAGCAAGTTGGTGTGATGAAGCAATAGTTCCACTTGTTACGTTGAGCCATGCGTGTACCTCGCGGACAGATTCGCGGAAAGGTGCGTTGCCAGCAAGGTCCCATTGGGGGGCCGCAGTACGCGTGTCGTCCAGTCCCTGTTGCATGCATCCTACTGCTCGACCAAAACACAACCAAATGATACCAAATACAGTAACTTTAATACGTAGCACCCCGCAATTGCGGATAAGAGTGAGGGGGCGGGCGCGGGCGACGCGGGCGTCGTCAAGCCGGCGGACCTCGTGGCCCCCACCTTCCCTGTCGATGGCGCTCTCCTCCTCCTCCTCCTCCTCCTCCTCTTCCTCCTCCGCCTCCTCCTCCTCTTCCTCGTCCTCGTCCTCGTCCTCATCGTCATCGTCGTCCTCCTCCACCTCGTCCTCCTCCTCCTCCTCCTCCTCCTCCTCCTCCGTTTTTTCCTCGTCCTCCCTCTGCCCCCCTCGTCCTTTCATCATCGTCCTCCCATTGTCGTCATGTTCCTCCTCGTCGTCCTCCTCCTCTTCCCCCCCCTCCCGATCCTCCCCCCTCCTCCTTTTCGTCGTCGTCGTCGACGTCGTCGTCGTCCCCTTCCTCGTCCTCCTCCTCCTCCTCCTCATCCTCATCCTCATCCTCATCCTCCTTCTCCTCCTCGTCCTCCTGCAAAAGCAGCCCGCCGCAGGCGCCGAAAAATTTGGTTTGTACACTGAACGTGGTTTGGGTCGCGGGTGGGCCGCGGGTTTTCCACCGGGAACGAATGCAAAAGATGCCCGCCGCAGGCGCCGAAAAATGTAGTTTGTACCCTGAACGTGGTCGCGGGTGGGCCGCGGTCTCTCCACCTAGAACAAATGCAAAAGATGCCCGCCGCAGGCACCGAAAAATGTGGTTTGTACCCTGAACGTGGTTTGGGTCGCGGGTTGGTCGCGAGTTGATCGCGGGGTGGGTCGCGGGCTCTCCACCTGGAAGGAATGCAAAAAAAACCCGCCGCAGGCGCCGAAAATGTTGGTTTGTACCTTGAACGTGGTTTGGGTCGAAGGTGGGTTGCGGGTGGGTCGCGGGGTGGGTCGCGGGTGGGTCGCGGGTGGGTCGCGGGTGGGTGGGTCGCGGGTGGGTCGCGGGGTGGGCCGCGGGCGGGTCGCGGGGTGGGTCGCGGGTGGGGTGGGTCGCGGGTGGGTCGCGGGGTGGGTCGGGTGGGTCGCGGGTGGGTCGCGGGTCGCAGGGTGGGTCGCGGGGTGGGTCGCGGGGTGGGGTCGCGGGTGGGTCGCGGTGGGTCGCGGGTGGGTCGCGGGTGGGTCGCGGGGTGGGTCGCGGGTGGGTCGCGGGGCGGGTTGCGGGTGGGACGACGACAACAAACAACAACAACAAACAACAACAACAACAACACGAATCCGCACCGCGGAATCTCACTTCAGCCACGCACCCAGGGACAGTGAATGACCGTTCGGCCCCCTCACTCTGATGATGCATGGTCATGTTGGTGCTGGTGGTGTCGTGGACGTCGTGTTTGTGGGCTGGCGTGGCCGTGTGCTCGTCGTGTGTTGTGGGCTGACGTGGCCGTCAATTTTCGGATAGGTATCAGGTTCATATTGGTGTATTGCACCTGGCCGCGATGTGGTATGAAGTTAGATGGTTGGTAGGAGCGTGGAAGACGAGAGCCGTCGCATACACGTGTAGGCCGACGTGGCCATCGGTCGTTATGCTGTCACGCGTGAGCACGATTCCTGATTTCCCTGATAGGGGTGCTGGCGCAGTTGGATGCACCACAGTAGAAATTGTCCACCAGTCTGTGCCGTGGAATTCCTTCTTCAAAAACAGAGCCGGCCACACGAAGATGAACCCAACTCCGCTACCAAGTCGAAACGGGAATGGCAAGCTGTACCATGAGTTACGCCGAACGCTTACGATAATATCCCATAGATTACTCATAATATGCGGTCGAATGCGAAGGAATGGGATCAGATGGTGCACCATCGAAGGACCTTGATCGACCCTTTTTCTGTTGTTCAGGTGCGGTAGTACCTCGAGAACGAAGCTGTCATATTCTCGTAGCGTATACAAACAGCGGCGGACGTAGGCACGGTGTTTGCGACGCTCGCCTTTGATATCCGCTCGAAGTGTCTCATCCCGGGTCTCCCTGTCGGTCCTGGGGACCTGACAGGGCGCCCCAAGAAGCCAAAAACTGCCACAAACCGCGAACCGACCGAAGATTACACAAATGCATGTTGTCCACAAACACAAAAAACAATTTGGAACCGGCCGTGGGGTCTGAGCTGACTGAGCCCAAAAAAGTCGGTCAACCGGCGCGAAGAAAGGCAAACACTATGAAGATCGGTCCCCAGACCCCTCCCAGATTTCACGTGGTGATTTCTGTCACCCCGGATCCGAAAACTGCCCCGTAGACTGGAAAAGGCAAAACCCTTTTCGAACTTAGCAACTCGAACCTGTTCCCCCCTCCTGCTGGCTGGAAGCATTGCTGGGCCACCTCGAACCCCCAGCCAACTCCAAGTTTACGACAAGAACTAAAAGAAGCTGTGACCTCCAGGGGGCGGCTGCGGTTCTGCGAACGCCGCTCCCCCAGCGACGGCAAGCTCGCCGACCGGCTCAACTTGCTCGGGGGGTCATCGAGAATGCGTGCCAGCTCGGGGCTGCCGACGTCCTGAAACCGGCGGGGAGGAGGGGAGGAGGGGGAGGAGGACACGGAGGAGGAGGAGGAGGAGGAGGAAGAGGAAGAGGAAGAGCAGGGGGCAGGAGGACGACACGGAGGGGGGGGGGAGGACACGGAGGAGGAGGAGGACACGAAACAGGAGGACTCGGAGGATGCTAGAAAATGAGATGCGAAAGGTGAGGTGGAAAAGAAATCCTTTTTCTCTAAGCGTAATTGGTGGCATGTGAGATACATAAGGCGCAAAGAATGCAGGCACGGAGCGCTGCAAGGTTGAGCCACACAGCGTCGGGCCAAGGCAAGAAAATTGAAATGGGCAGAGCAAGTACCGTTCGACTCTGGTGCTAAAGCTGGTCGTTCGCGCCCCTGGTGGTCCCCATGCGCATACCGCAGAAGAACCCACGGAGTGGAACCATGTGGCTGCTGCATGGGTGCTCTACTGTGCACACCCGAAACAACTGCTTGCACAGAAAACGTTCTGCTGACCGCCAATTCATAACAAGTTGGCTGCACTGAGCGCTCTGCTGACCGCGCTTACGAGACTACAGGTGGAACAAAGACGAGATGATTACTGCCCAGTGAGCACAGTCGACTGGATCACGGCTCACGCGCGCACTCAACTTCCCGTCCATCCCTGGCCGCGCACGTCCACAAAGTCTGGCATACTCGGCGTCGCTGGGCAGGTCGATCCGTGTACCAGCGAGCGGGGCTGACCTTGATCAGGCTCCGGGACGACGAAGGTCGAACTTGTGACACAGTCACACAAAGCGCCTCTCCAATAGAAAGTGAGAGAGCTAATCTGGGAGCTCGGGACGATGCTCTTCTTCTTCTCGTCACTAAACTTGACCGCCTCGTGGTCGTAACGCATCTGAACGCCTATTACGCTGAGGATGAGCTCTCAGCCACTGCTGCCCTCGGTCATGGGGTCGGCCCGCAGGTCCCGAGCGTCGCACCAGAGCAGGTCCTGGATTTGCGCGGCGCGAAACTGGTCTGCCAACCACCATGGGTGACCAGCCACGCTCCTCTCGGACGGCCGCGCTGGATCCACGAGCAGGGCGCCGAAGACGGACATGCCATCGATAACGAGATCTGCAGGGATCGCGCAAGCCCCATCCTCTCCCAATCTCCAAATCTCCTCGGCAAATGCGGGGCCGCATACCATCTCGCGCACGAAGAGGAGGCACGCCTGTCGCCCATCGGATGGACCGCGGGCCGCGAGCAGCGCTGAGCCGAACGAGCATCTGCATACCAGCTGGCACGATCGGCCCACTGCGCCCAACAAGCGGCACGCCCATTTGCCAGCTCGGCGGCGCCTGCCGAGACGCGCGCACACGACCCCTTGCACGCCGCACCCCGTCTCCCCCACCTCCCTCTTGAACGGCCCGTCGCTGTGCACGCCGGGTCGCCCAGCGCACCCCATGGCTCGCAGTGCGATGCGCGGCCTGCTCTGCATGGCCAGAGCGACTGAGCCGGGTTGAATCACGCGCCGGGTGAGCTGCTTGCTCTCGGCCATCTGCAGGGCGACAACGCACGCTGCGACTTGGCGCTGCCCCAGCAGCGCGTAGGCCGCTGCCCACGGGAAGAGAGCAAGAGGTTTGCCAGCTGACCTCCGGCCGCCTCGCCAGCCTTGGCCTTGACCAAGGCGAAGTGCCTGATCGGCATCAGGGCGTTGAAAAGCTCGTCCTGGTCGGGCGTCACGGTGCCATTGGCATTGCGGCGCTGATTCAATCAGCAGTGGGTAAGATCGCCACGGTCACCTTCCATCTTGCCGAAGACGCTCTCGACGCAGCGGATCAGCCAGTCGACGCGCCCCTTGCGCCCAGCGATCTTCAAGTCGTCAACGCGCCTAGACAACGCGAGCACTAGCTCCATACAACCTTCGGCGAAACAGGCGCCGACCGATGGGCCCCACGGATGCGATGTAGCAGAGGGGGCAAACAAGGGAACGGCCGCGTTGGACCCCACCTGCCCCCCCACAAGACGCCCCCGCACTCCGGCGGGCGCGCGACCCGGGCGAGCTTCTTGGAGAAGGCTCGGGGCCCGTCCTTGCAGCCCGCGCCTGGTCCGATGCAAAGCGGGCACTCGGTCCGCTCGTCGAAGCTCTTGTAGCCGGGTACATGCCTGAGGATGGCTGCGCTGCCAGGCTGCAGGGCGACGTTCGCTCCGCAGGAAGCTTGACCTTGTTCCTGCATCTCGGCGCATGTCATGCCCCGCAGGAACACCTTCTCGGTGCCCAAGGCGACGCGCGCCCAGTCTGGGCGACGCGCCGCCTCCGAGGGCAGCAGGAGCTGCGGCGCCTGCTCGCAGCCCCAGCGAACGCCCCCAGAACTCCGGCGCTCACGTCGCGGATGCCCCCCAGCGCCATGCGACGCCAGGGGATCCGGACAGTCTTGTCGTCTGATCCCTTCCAGCACTTCCACTTGAAGACCTGTCTGGGGCGCATCACGTTTGGGGCGCCGGCGAACGGTCACCTCTCGAAGCACGTGCACTTAAACCAAATGGTGAGATCTCCGAGGATGGCCGCTGCGACCTCCTCCGACAGCCTCTGCACTTCTGCGTTGCTCAGAAAGTCAGCGCGGCGCGTGATGTCCTCGGTCTTGACGACGGCATAAATGTTAAGCGCGGCTGTCTGGGGAGCGCCAACGACAAAGTCACCAGACGCTGCCTCGTCGAAACTCAATAAGGCTTCACCAACCCCTGGGTCAAGGCTCAAATCCACATGCCCCCCTGCTTCGCCCTCTTCCTCCTCTAGCGCAGAGCAGTCGTCCAAGGAGGCCCCGCGCAGGTCATAGCGGCACTGCGCGCGAAGGCTCCGGCGCCGGCGCTGCGTCTCGAGGCGCCAGGGCCACTCGCGGGGCCCGCGGCCATGGCCGGGCCAGGGAAGTCGCTGTCGGTGGCTGACAGGGCCGCAGATGGACCTCCCTCGGCGGTGCCGGCGGCGCCCTCGGGAACGTCGATGACACGACCATCGAAAGATCCGTCTGAATTTTGCCCGACTTCTGTTACCGGCAGTGTTTCGTCACCCAGGATCAACTGACTGATGCGAGCTTCCTTCCAATGCTCGCCGATAAAATGATAAACGTCGAACGTGACGCCGACGACGCGAATCTGCTGGAACTCACTCGGGTTCTGAGGGGGCCACCAAATAGCCACGCTACGGACGCAAACCAGCCAATGCCCCACAGATGTCTGGCCGCACATCAGGCGCGCGGCACGAACGTCTGGCGACTGAAAGCATCTGCGGGACAGATGGCGTAGAGATTCGAGGATGCTGGGGCGCCGCCGGGTCTGCGCGGTGATCTGCACGCCCCATCGCGGCATCCCAATTACCGAAGGTCCTGGCCCCACAGCCTGGTGCGATATGCTCCTGGACGTCCTCCACGCCGTCCCGGGCCAGGCCTGCTCGCGCCAGGCCCGTGCCCACGTCGTCTACGACGGCGCCGAAACAAGGCCGCGGTTGCTGTTTGCTTTCCATATCAGCTCGGCATTACTTCACTGCGAACCTTGCCTCGAGCTGGTTCCAGATATATGACCGCCCCAGGGATGGCCCAGCCCGACATGTCCTCTGTGCTCGGGAGCCTGCGGATCTCAACCTGGTCGCCAACGTTGAAGCGACCATCCCTAGGCTCGGCGGCGCGGGCCCAGAGTGCGCGGCTGACGCGCGAGATCAACGTGGCCTCGACTGCGCGTTGCAAAACGATCCCTCGGACGCGCCACAGCAGTCGGCTGGGCTGCACTTCTCCGCCGGCAGAAGGACCGGCACCGTTGCCACAGGCACTAGACACCTCACTCTCTTCCCCCATTTCGACCAGCGGCAACATAGACGGCTGCCGTCCGAAAGCGACTCTGCACGGTGCAACGCCGCCCACGCGGGCGAGACTGCTGCCAGCAAACATAGCATGAGCTAGCAAAGACTCGAAATTCGCCGCGATGCCTTTGCGCTCCAGATGCTCTTCTGCGGCACGAAGCGCACGTCGACGCATGGAACCACGTCGCTCGATGAATCGAGCTTGCTGACGAGGAGCCCGCATATCCACTTGTACCTCTCGCCTCTTCACCTCCTCCACAACTACGCAGAGGTCACCCCACCTTCGCCGCCCACTACAATTGAACAATTGGAACCATCGCACCGAACAGCTGACGCCATGAACGGTCGGTAGCGGGAAGCAGCGTCGAGCCGCTCTTGGATGTGATATCCTGGCCACTGCGCTGCCGTGAGGCACAGCAGATCAAGCGCATAAGCATGAGGTCCTCGTACTGGTTGAATCGCGTCGAGAGGCGGAGTGCAGCGATGGTGCAAGCTCGTTGGCCACCGCGGAGACGAAGTCAAAAATACGTTGGATCTCTGATGAGCCCCAAAATTTGCAGTCGTCAACGCACACTGTCAAGAAGAGCTTCAATGCCGGTCGACAGCGGCGGCTTCGCCACGAAGTAGTGGGCCCGAAGACCTACGAGAGCCCATGCGCTCGCACGGATGCTTCCAGTAACTTCCAGCATCGGGGCGACCGCAGAGTGCCAACCGAAATGGGCATAAAAGGTCGCGCATTCCAGCCCAACTGTCGGGCAACGCCCCCCTGGGAAGGCGTGCCCAAGTAGGTGCCCCTCAAAGGAAAGACTGAGCGCACGCCTGTCGCGCATCATCGCGTCGAATGTCGCGCCCAGGAAAGATGCCATAGGCGCCCGCAGCTCTGCTGGCCTGCGCACTTGCAGGGCACCACGACAACTCTTGAAATAAAGCCACAGCTTGATCCTAATCGACGATGTCTGACCCGTCGAAAATGACACGCCTTTGAATTTCTGTTTTACACGGCCCTCTGAGAGCCCGGCGTTCTTTCCGACAGAAATGGCAAGCAGGCGCCCGACATGGAATGCGTTGCTTCCCATCGTCTCGCGCACCTTGCTGAATGCGCAGCACCATCCGCCACTGGTAGAGTGCATGCTGGAAGCGCGGCCCTGCATCCCCTGACGCGCTCCACTGCCGCCCCATTTCCAATAATCACGGGCTTGCCTCCGCCCACGCCCCCCAGCTTTAGCTTCCGCCTTTCCTTTGGACTTCCCTTGCCCCGCCCTGCCCCTCGCCGAGCCCCTGCCCCCGCCCACCACGCGTGGTCGGGGCCGTGGCCAGGCAAGAACACTTTTTTCATCTCCCTGTAGAAATGCCCCTGCATGGACGGGCGAACAGATCTGCGGGGCCTGTCCTTCTCATTCATTCATAAGATCACCCAGTCGCCACGGAAGCGAGGGAGATCGGCGCCTGCGCCCCTGCCCGCGCCACGGACCCCGGTGTCCATCTTGCCCGAGCACGCGCGCGCCTGACTGAGATCCTCTCGGGCGGTCACACGCACGGCAATGATGCGCAATATCGAACATCATTTCAGCATCTTCTCCATCGGCATGGCAGCGTCGCATGGACCGGACCTCGCATGCGAAAATCGAAAGGAAGATATGGGGCCCTTGGCGACCCCGTCGGTCTCACGCACGAGGTCTGAGGCCACCGCGAGGTAGAGGCGCCCGAAGGGCCCCAAGTCCTCGAGGGCCTCGGCCATCACTTTCGCGACCTCGAGTGCACCTGCGGCGGCCCCCCAGCAGGGCGAACACGGTGCAACGCGCCTGCTGGCGCTCTTGCTCGGTTTGCGGGCACCCTGCCACGTCTGGCACGGGGTCAAAGACCCCTCCTGCATTGCCGGCGACATTCCAATCTGCCACGGCGCCAGGCGCCCCGCTGGGGAAGGCGTCGCCACCGCCACCGTCCGAGGATGGATCTCCAGGCGGTCCGTTGAACCTGCCTCGGCGTCTCTCGCGCTCACCCCCCTCATCTTCATCGGACGGCTCGCAGAAGCCATCCTCCGAATCGCCATCGGAAGAATCGGGGCCGTCATCATCAGGGACGGCGCCGTCAGCTGGCGGGCCAGACCCAGGCGATCACTTCTCGGGCCCTCGGCGGTCGCGACTCGACATCGCCCTCTCCCTGGAACGCGCTGCCATCACCACCGTCTCCGCCGCGCGGCTTCTCGGGACCAGGTGGAGTGCCGCCTGGAGGAAAGGTGGCAGAACTGCCCGGGCACGTTCAGCTTTCCTCTCGCCCTGCCAGAGACGCCCAGCCCCCCGCGGCCGCCCCCCACTTCGCCCCCCCCAACCCCGGATTCGAAGCTTGTCGGCGGCATCGGTTTCTGATCACTTCGCAGCCCAAAGTTCCAGGCGCCCGGCATTCTCTTCCATCCTCGGGGCTTCTGCGTCGGCGCGGCCCCCCATGCCCCGCATCGCGCGCGCAGGCGTGTCAGCGAGCCGCCGGCGCTCAGCCTTCGCAGCGTTCTCGAAGGCCCCGAGCCTCTTCAAGGCCTCGGCTTCAGCCTTCTGCAATACCGTCCGGTCCGAGGCCCTCGCAACATAGCTGCGAAACACCTCTGGCGCTAGCGGGCAATCGAACGGTCCTGCTCCGGACAGGGTCTGCGATGCGACGCGCCCCATCGAGCTCTCGCCTGTCTTCATGATCCCCCACTTCTTCTGTCATGCCCCATCTCAGCCCCACATCCATTATTGGCCAGATCCTCACTGCACGAGACGCATCGCCACTAGAGAGCGTCGGAGCGACGGGCGCAGCGGGGCTTGTTGCATCGGACGCAGTCGTACTCTGCGGGCGATCGACAAGCGGCACTATAGTCCGCACTGCGACGTTGCTGCGCAGCGCTCGGCCCCGCCTTTAACTGCGCGACCGCGGGCGTAGCCGCGGTCTTCGTCGGTCCTCGATTCGCCCGGGGAAAGTGCTGTTGTAGCTGTTGTCCCACATGATGTTCTGCATGTTCTCGATAAAGCTACCCGCGCCACGCTTCCGAAGCCCTCGCGGACTGCCCAGTCCGTAGCTGGGCGCGACGAGCCGCGGCAAGAGCCTCCTGGATCGCCCGCTGCTCAACGCGTTCAGCCCTTTCCTCAGCCGCTCGAACCCCCGCAGCTGCTCGAACATCGTTCGCGCGGGCTGCGTTGGCGAACGCCTGCACCTACGCGCGGGCGTCGGCGATTTGGCTCGCGGCGCCCCCCGCTGCCACCATGCTCTCTGCCGCGGCCCCCTGCGCAGCGGCCTCGGCGGCCCCCCTGCCCGCCCCAGCTTTTCGGATCGCCTCGCGGGCCCCCGCTGGCACACGCAAGCCGCCTGCCTTCACCGCCCCGAGTTCCTCGGCGACACCCGCCGCGACGGCCTCCCGGGCCTGGCCCCCTCGGCGACGTTATCCTCGAGATCCTGGACGCGCTTCTCATCGGCGGCGCAGGCCTCCACCTCGCCGGCCAGCTCGCGCAATTCAGCCGTCGCCCGCTGCGCTTGCTCGGAGGCAGCGGCCCGCTGCTTTCGCCCGATGTCCCCCAGGGCTCAGACCATCGAGGCGCGGTCCGCCTTGCACTATCTGCCCCTCAACCTGCGCCAGCTCCAAGTCCCTCTCCGCGATCGCGGCCACGCGCTTCCTCTCTTCCGGCCGCCCCCACCCCTGCCCCCCGCGGGCCACAGAATTGCGAGATGACGGAGGGGCGCACTCTGGACAGAGGAACATTGGGTTCCAATGGGGAAAATTGAACGAGCGCCCTCGGCACTCAGGCCCCGGGCATCGACCGCGGCCCCCCGGGCAGCACCTCTCGGGGATCGGCGCGCATGCGGGGCCAGGGTTCGCACAAGGCCTCTGAATGCGCAAGCTCGACACTTTCTCACGCGCCGCCCGAGCCGACGAATTCGAAGTGCCCGAGTCCCCGACCGCCCTGCTGCGACCCAGCGCCACGAATCTCTCGCGAGCAAGTACGCGGCACTGGCTTTCTCATGGAACCCCACACCAAGCCGCAGGCACGCGATACTCTAAGCGAGGGCGCCGTCGGGCGCGGTGATTCGGGAACGAAGTTCCCGAAATCGCCCCCCGAATCAGGCAGCAAGGCCTCTTCTGGGGCACCGCCTGTCTTCGATCGTTTTCCGATCGGCGGGGTCACCGATGGATCGACTATCTCACGAACTTGTTTCATGGCGGGCGCTGTCGGCCCCATAGCTGCAATCGGCACAAGAGAAATAGCCTTGGGGAGGGAGTCGAGCCCCTTCCACAGACCCAAGCGTTGCGACCATCACCATGGCCGATGGCTGGCGCAGCTCGGGACGAGAGGTTTCGACAACATAGCTATCGAGAGCATGTGGCTCATCATGATGTGTACCCGTGCCGGCAGACCCAGACGACGGCCCAGTATCATAGATACCAAAACCGTCGCGTGGATGTTGCCCGGTCACGGCATCTTGAGCCGCCCAACAGCGTTCCGATTTCACGGGCACATCGGCTTCCGATGATACGGTGGCCGCGCCATCGGAGGAGTCGGAATGAATCATGTAGGCCTGGTTGATAGAGGCAGATAATAGCGCCCTCGGAGGGGTGCTGCTCCCGTACCACTCTTCGTCGGCCTGCGCCATCGCGTTGGCCGCCCGCGGGGTGTCCATGCGGCCACCGACTCTACCCGTTGACGACTTGTCGTTCTTTGATGAATCCAGCTCACTGGGATCCTGCAGAGGACTCGAAGCGGAACCACCAAAGTAGTCAGCGGGAACCGTCTCGAGTATCACTTTTCCATTCCTTCTAAGCCATGACGACTGTCATGAAGAGCGGGCCCGGCTCTGGTTTTCATGATTTTGTATTTGTCCGGGTCCGTATCCATCTCTGTTTATATGGCCACCTCATCCCCGACACGTGTGACATAGTCACGAGATCCCGCGGCGAGTACATGGGCTGATAAACAGCAGTTTGCCTAGATGTGTCTAAGTTGGGGATATCCTCGTTGATAGGCCAGTGTTCTGGGTGAGATCCTGCTTCTCCTGGATGCACTTGAATACTGTTCGCTTGCGGTCTCACATCTAGCTTCGGCAATGCGGACCTCCTTGACGACATGGCAGTAAAAGTCCGTAGAGTCTTACGCGTACTAAGAGGAATGTATGCGTTGTGGGTCGGCCGGCCGAGGGGAGGAGGCCGGGCGGGGCGCACGCGCGGGCCCTCTCCTGTCAAGCACGCAGGCACAGCTGCTGCGTATGAGTGTTCATCTCTCTGACGTCAACCATGCTGTGGGCACGGTGGCGTAAATGAAGAAAAGAGGGCAAGGAGAGTGTTGGTAATAACTCGAGCTCCACGAACTCCGTGAACTGCCTGAGGACCTTCCAGAATGCAAATGAATTATTGTAGGAACCTCTGAAAAGGGAATTTGCAGGGCTTATTGCAACATCGTGGATGCGTCCTGGATTTAAACTGGTTATCATCCTTCCTCCTCTTCTCCGCCTCCTCCTCCTCCTCCTCTTCCTCCTCATCATCATCATCATCATCACCATCACCATCATCACCATCATCATCATCATCATCATCATCATCATCATCATCATCATCATCATCATCATCATCATCATTATCATCATCATCATCCGCCTTTTCTTCCTCCTCCTCCTCCTCCGCCTCCGCATCCTCCTCTTCCGCCTCCTCTTCCTCCTCCCCCGCATCCTCCTCCAACTCCTCCTCCGCCTCCGCCTCCGCCTCCGCCTCCTCCCTCATCACCCCTGCTCGTTCTTCACGCCCGCCGTCATCCCTGCACCCAGGAGGGGGAGCGGCCCGGCGTCCTGGGACTGCGCAGGTCTGCGGAAGTGCTCGACGAACTCTGCGTAGTAGACGCGCGGGTGTCCACCTCCGTCCAACGCCCTGCTCCCTCCTCCCTCGTCCCCCACCCCCTGCTCCTCAATCTCCCCCTGCTCCGCTCCTCCTCTTCGTCCCCCTAACCCTCCTCCCTCGCCCTACTCCACCCTTCTTCCCCCTGCACACTCCTCCCTCGCCCTCATCCGCACTTCCTCCCTCGGCTTCCTTTCTCCACCTCCTTCCACCCTGTCGTTCCTTCTCCTCCTCCTCATCCTCCTTCTCATCAGCATCCTCTCCTTATCGCTACCATTCATTGTATTAACGTTTGCGTTATTCGTAATATGATTATTGTTGTTATTGTTGGTGCTGATATGTTCAGTCGTATCATGGTCAGGCCTGTTATAACCATCTGTTCGCTGACATATCACTGCTGGCAATATTATTTTACTGTTCGTATCAGCGCAATACTGTTGTTGTGATTGGCATTGCTCTTGTTAGTAATCGTCGTGTTATTGGTCTTCTTTGTCGTATGCAGACTAGTCGTGGTAGTATTACTAATATGGTTCGTAGCGTTGCTGCTCTTCTGAATAGTAGTACTAATATTGAAACGACTCATCGTAGTACGATTAGTCTGAATATGCTCCTCCTACTCTTCTACTACTACTACTACTACTACTACTACTACTACTACTACTACTACTACTACTACTACTACTACTAATACTACTACTACTACTACTACTA